TTTGGGAGGCCACGTCGATCATTGCCCCCACGCCTCCACTCTCGGGGTCCACTGTGAAGGCTGCCTCCTGCTCCTGGGCTGCCATCTCTTCCATGAGCTCCTCGGTGGACCGAAGGCCTGTGAAGTGGGTCCTCTCGTCGGCGTCGGCGGGGACTTGGACAAACTTCACCGGCCACGGGAACTCATACCGGAACCGGGCGATCCAGTGGTCTAGACCTTCATCCTCGCCCTCGTTGTACTCCGGAATGGCCTTGGTCAGGAACCTGCTAAGTCGCTTGGCCTCAGCATAGTTGTGTGCTGTGAGGCGAGCTGCGCTGTCGAAGGCTTCCTGCTCGACCGTAGTCTGGTTGACCTGCTGTCGCAATTAGGTCATACCAAATGCTTCGCCAGGTCTCCAAGAGCTTTGTGGCATGCTCCTCTGGGATGTGGATCTCGCACTCCCAGTCTGTGAGGGTGCCTGTGGAGGTCGTCTGTGAAGGACCCCCGCGGCGGTACACGATGCGGCCCAGCCAAGCCTCTTTGGAGTCAACCAAGGCCAGCGTCTTCCACCTCGGAACCAATGGCTCTTTGGTGAACTTGCTGAAGGCCGCCCGGTAAGCGTTCATGAGTCCCTGGAGCGGCGAAGCAAGCCTGCGTTCAAACTGTGTGACTCCAGGGGAGAGCTTTACCGGGCCGCCGCCCCTCAAAGGTCTGGGCTGGCTCTTTTGAGCCGGCTGCCTGTGAGGAGTCCGCCGTGTTCTTCTCGGCCGTTTCTTCGGAGCCGTCCTTCGCCTCGTGGGAGCGCGGAGCGGCCTGGGTGGCAGGGGTAGGGGGAGAGGCAGACTTGGGGGGGTGCGGAGGGATCGGGGAAACAGGGATAGTGGGTGGGGGAGCAGGTGCTGCCGAAGAGGAACCCTCCGGAGGTTGGGGGCACGGGGTGGGCACCGTGGACGGTGGGGCCTTAGCCGGAAGCGCTGGGGCCGCCTTCGGTATTCCACAGCCCAGCTTTCGCAAGGGCCTTTTCCACTGTGAGGCGGCGGTCTGCCTCCGTCTGCCAAGTGGGGAAGTTTCGGCATACGATGGTGCGCTTGGCCTGCTCGATCTGTGAGAAGAGCATGTCCTTCTCCGCCCATGCGGTGCGGATGCGAAGGGCCCGGACCTGCTGCTCCAGGTTACCCACTCGCTCGTTCGTCCTCACCTGTGAGGTGGACAAGGACGAGTATACAGCTCCGAGAGCTGGGGCGACCTTCTGCTGCATCGCCATCTGCACTAACTCCATGCACTGTCCGACTGTTGCCGGGGCGTTGAGGTCTACCCCCTGGGCTAGCGGAACTGTGAAGGACTGTGGCTGCAGCTGAGTCGGAATTAGCACAGCAGCCGAAGACTGTGGGGCATCTATGCGTGCTTCCATCTGACTCATGCGTGCAGTAAGGTCTTGATGCTGCTCTTCACGCCGTGCTCCTTGCAGCTTCACTTGTTCTAGCTGAGCAGCCACTTCTGCCAGCAAGGTGGACATTTTGTCCAGCTGGTCTCCCTGGCCCGCCATGGCTTCAAGGAAAGAGGAGGGAGTGACCTGTGAAGCTTGAACCGCTCGTGAGCTTGAGAGAACCTATTAGGATGCCCAGAACTTTGAGTTCATGGTCTTCTCACCATCCCGAAACGTTTGACAAGTGTGCAGCGTTCCGAAAAAGCTGGGCGCATGCACAATTCCCATGTTCCCAAAGTCTTGTCGCTGGCTCTGACTCTGACATCGCTCTGTGAAGACCATAGAACAAGGCATCGCATGAGCGCATTTGGTTGAGGCTTGAGATCATATCTTTCTTTAAGCGATACGGCCGCCGTCACAGTTAGCTTCTTCCCCGGAATCTTGCGGACAACTGCCGAGGAGAAGGGCCTTCTGCAAGACTGACATGAACCACTCTACTGTCCTCGGCGGCACATGGTTCTGCCGCCTGCGACTTCGCTTTGCAGCACCTGGGCTGTGCTGCTGGACCAGCGTGGCAGGGCAGTGGGTTCGCACAGGGGATCGTTTGCCTTTTGCAGCCTGCAGACTTAAGCTCCTGGTCCGCATCACGCCGCGAGCCACGATGAAAGAACCTGCGCTTTCCATCAAACAAGGATCGTGGAGAACTCCCTCCTTCGCTGGGTCGCAGTCAGGCCCTGGCTGCACTTGCAGACAGAAGATAAGACTCTGCTGCCTGATCTGGCAACATCTGTCGAGAGCGACGGGCTGCTTCAGAATGCTTCAGAGGTTTCGTCTGAGGGCTTGGGGTGAGTGTGCGGCTGGTTACAGGTTGACGACGTCTCACATGCTTGCAACTCTGCAACATCCGGTCGCACAACAATTGAACCCCGTTTCAGGGTCTCTCAGCTCACGGCCAATTCAGGCGCACAACGCTCTGCACCAGCAGGTCGTAAAGAGCCCTCAGCCCAAGACCACGGCTGTTTATGGGAGGAAGCATTTCAAGGCCTCAGCCTACTCCAAACAGAAGCTGCGACACTGAAAGTCCGTACGAAGCAAAATTGAAAACGTTTGCAGACTCTGACGACTGGGACTGCAAACTGGCCCTCTTTGCAAAGCAACGGCTTTCTTCAAAGACCCTGCCGAAGGCTTCGGCGCGATCAAGCCAATACCCATCTTGCTGCAAGTGGCTGGTGCGTAATCAACACTGAAGCAACCCTCGATCCTTTCACCCATTTAATACAGACGGCCCCCTGCAGCGTATCTGTATCAATTGGGTTGTTGGGGTTTCCGGGTCATTCTGAAGGGGAGGCCTACACCAGAAGAACAGATGCAACACCCACAAAGCCTCATGGCACTGCTACATAAGAAAGCCACTTTGACATGTCTTGCTGGAACCAGCATCACCCCTCCAACAACGACCTGAGCAGACCAACAGCCATCCCAATGGCACGGCCTCGAAACTCCTCTCTACACCCTAAACATCTTGAACCACTGGCTCAGCTGCAAACCTGTCAGCCATGCGGGCAGCAGATGAGTTCTGAATTTAGATTCAAATGCAGGTGTAGATTTCGTTGATGTGCGTTTGGCGTCGATGCTTCAACTGACGTCTTTGTCTTAGGTCGAAAACTCGCAAGCGGAGAGTCTGAGTCGTGGGTGCAGAATGTGACGACTCATCTGGCTGCCTATGGCTGCAAGCTTTGCTGGTCATGCTGGGATCTCCACCCTCAGAATGAGTCCGTTGTCTGTAGGCCTAGGCTTCACCTAGAGCCGGACAGCTGCTAAACAGGCTTGCCGACCAGAACCAAATCAACCAGCTTTGGCAACCACGGTTGCGAAGATCGGACGGTCACTGAGTCACGTGGCCTCAACTTGCTTGCAAGGATGGGCTTCATCTTTTTCCACCGCTGTAAAAAGGGCGTCCAGAATTAGAACGCTATTCTAGTCGCATCGGTTCGGTTGCGCTGGCTCGGATCGCACTATTCCCTAAACGAGCTATTTGCGGTCAGACCAACAATTAGTGGCTGCATGATTGCTTGCGGCATCACAACATCTCTGCACTACGCGCTTCGAACCCCCTCGCGGCCAAATGCTCCCCTTATCACGGACTGCTCGCTGGCAGTTGGGTTTTGAAAAGGAGTTTCGGCGGCAGGGGAGTCCATTTCAGAAATCAACCGTGCGTTCTTCGACGCTCCTGGACACGCATGAGGCAAGCTTGAAATGCAGTTGGCTGGGCAACTATAGGCACAGTTCATTTCCTGTGCCGCCTCTACGCCAGGTGAATGCAGAGCTGTGACCAATAATGTCAAAGGAGTCTGTGCCGAATGTCCTGCGGTTGCCTCGACCGCGTAAGTTTGCGTCTGCTTAGGGAGTTATCGAGGTTCATAAACCGCAAGAACAGTTGGCCTTTTCTGTTGCGGTAAGGCAAATGACAGCAAGAAAGCATCTGTGGAAGTCGACCGAATCTGCGGCTCATTGGGGCACAACATTCCCTGTTTGGGCAGCTGCAAACTCCATGAGTTCATTGGGGGGAATCCCATGGCCGACTTCTTCAGCTTCCGACTGAAGCTCTCAAGCGAACTTCGCCTGGCCCCTACCTGAGAAGGTCAAGCACATGGCTATTCCATGCATTCTGTCACCTCCAATCCCCACGCCTCTGCCTCCTCTCTTGCGTCTGCGCGGGCGGCACTGCCTCAACCAATCAAGCGCAGGAGGCTGGCCCACTGCAATGGCAGGGCTAAGATCCCCGCGAACTCCAGCCTGACCCGCTCCACTCCTCCGGTATGCAGTCTTGTGACGAATCTTGTATTTTCACATGCCCTCGCTTGCGAAGCCCCTCTCCTCGCTGGAGCCACGGGTCCACCAGTCATGACATGGATGGCTGGACACATGTCCTGAGCGTAAAACTCCTAAACCGGATCCGTGCAGCTTGCGAGTTGGGGTTACGGGCTTTGGGCTGACCATGCCGGTGCCACTGTCGGTACGAAATGCAGATAAGTCACCTGCAGGCTTGCCTGCCAAGAGCTCAACACCACGGCAATATGTTGCATCCGACACGCACACTCGGCGTTTCTTTATGTGACTAGCCAGAAACATGCCTCGTGCGGCGCGGTGCATCAGCGTGGTTCCAGGAAGTGCCTCCGCCCCGTCCCCCGCCATTTCAGCTTGTAACTTCAGCTCCCGACGTCGTGCAATCACGAAGGCATGCCTCTTTGCCGTTTACGAGGTTGAGGAGATATCGTCCAGCTGCGGCTCCAGCCTCATCTCCCGGAAGCCGGGGGTCCAAAACTTGCGGGCTTTGCCACAGAGGTGCAGCTGCAGTTGCACTACGAAATAGTGCTCACAACATGCCAGAGCTGCCTCTGTGTAGGCCGCCTGGAGCGCTTCCTGCTTGAAAGCCGTGCAAACAAACTTCATTGACTTCGCACTTTGCGCTGCTTTTCTTTCTCTAGCTCCACCCTCTCCACCCTACCAACGAAGAAGTTGTCTGAGCCCAACCTTGCATCTCGGTGTGCACCTGAATCTCCCCAACTCCCCCAAACTTCCCAGAAGAATTCTCCTGGGGCGCCGTGGGAGCATACCAGGGATCATCATAGCCCTTGACCGGATTTCAACTGCTTGAGGTTTCAGGAATTTTGGGTTGGGTTGTTGCCAAGGGGTTTGCGGGGCTTACGTTGCAAGGTTTGGACCTTGGGGCTTTGGCCAGTTTCGGGGCTTTGCATTGTGGATTTCTCGGGGCTGGCAGTGGTCAACAACACAAACATCAAACACTTGAGGGTGGCAATGGGGCGTCTATCCTTTGCTCCTCGAAGCAGCCTTGCTCCTTGGCATCGGCTTGTGGAGCTTGTCTTCCCAGGAGGCTTAGAGGCTCGTTTTCACGTAGCGTAAACCCCGAAAGGCCAGCACGCAGGCCTTTGCATATCTCATTTTCTTCAGAAGCAAGACTGCCAAGGAGTCGGAGGCCATCAACAAAGTCAAGTTCTTGTCAGCTCACCGCGGTTCTTGGATTGGGTGCTATCACGCGGATAGGAAGTCAAGATACGTCAGACCCATGGTCTGTTGATCGAGCCTTTCAATCTGGTGCCCGTCCACACGTGTGCTGAGATAAATAGGCCAGCTTGCTTTCTTAGGTAGGAGACAGCGGCAGATCAAGAATAGCCGCGACAAGATGCAAGGATCTCACGGGGATCTGGGATTGAAGGTCTCGTACCTGCCTATAGACATCTCATTGCCGGAGTTTGCGAATGACGCAAAACCTCAACACACAACTATTCACAGGCCTGCGTAGGTTGCGGAAGCGAGAGACCGACGGCCTGAAAGGGCTTGGGAACACTGTGAAGCGCGTGGCTTATGGAATGGAAAGGCGGGCCTGCTTCAACAAGTCGACCCGCATGGCCTAGTCAGCATGCGGAGCATTGCATAGCCACAGCATGTCAGGAGGATCAAGACTGCTCGAGCATGCTCAAGCGTTCTTGCGGCCTTGGGCAGCACCGTCATGCCAAAAATCTGACAAGATAGTGATAGCGTTCTGGCCGGATTCTGTGCATTACAACGGCCTTGATCGGAGGCAGCGGCGCCGGCGCCGGCACCGCCTTATGAAGGTTAGCTGGGTGTCAAATCCCTTCAGTGAGCAGCGACCCCAGCTTTTTGCGATTTCTCGGCAAATCTTTAGGGTTTAGGATTTAGGGTTTAGGGCGTAACATAAAGATTGCAAAGAACTGTCACAAAAATGAACCGTTGTTTGAAACTGAGTTTTATCAAGTTGCACAAGCCTGAGGGATAGCACCCGTAACTACCACACAAGTCCTGAGTACATCGCGTGTTATCGCGCACAGGATATAGGCAAGTGAAATCGTGGTTCCAGCTAGTTTTTGTCTTGCGTCCGGACACATGCACGTCTCCAACTTCAAGAAGCACCGATGTTTGTGGTGCTTTCGGGTGCTTTCGAGAAGCCTTCCTCTAAACGTAACTTTAAAGGCAAACTAGGGAATAGGAGTGACCGCCCTGTATAGCATACTACAGCCATGTCAAAGTTCTACTTACTTTGTACGTTGCTTGAATACACGGGCCTGTTTTCTGAAGCCCCTATGTAAATTATTATCGCAGCGAGGTCCGTGAAGAGCTGCATTCTTTCACCGTGGGCTGCAACGTTGCTCCACAGCACTTGTGAATCAGCCCGAGCTCGCCACGCCAGAGTTGGCGAGCACGGCCATCGCGCCGAAGTTCAACGGATCTCACCAACACAGCAGTGCGTTGCAAACGACCCCGTTTAGGCAAACAGATCTGTCCAGTGTACACTAGGTGCCGGACATGCTGGAGAGGATCTAAAGCCTATGAGCTAAGACTTCTGGAGCCAACGTGGATAAAGAATAAGCTTGCCATGTATCATCGTTCTGTACCGTTTCGAAACTGCGCTCATGTCCACGACAGCCGAGAGCTCCATCGGCAGATCCCGTGCATCTATCTTGGAACCCTTTTCTCCCCATGCTCCCCAAGCTGGCATCACGTGCTGCCATCACGCTCGATAAAAGTATGGCCCACCCGGCGAGCTCTGAACCCCAAGTCCCACATCCTGAAATCGAAGCTGTCATGGTGCGAGCCTTCTAACCTAACACACCGGGCCAAGTGCGGGCGCTGATGGCAGCCCCAGTCGCGCCACCAATGGCTCTAGCGGTTTCGGCAAGTGCATAGCTGGTTTGAGATTGTCATGCAGTGGAAGAGCCTCAAAAGGAACTTGGAAGCATAGAAAAGTTCAGATCATTTCAGAGGAGCTCGCCATGCTAATGCTGAGGAGTAGGGCTCGGGAGCAGCTACTTCTCTTCACTGCAGATGTTCCTAACAGTACCAGCAGGGCACTTCACTACTCAGTGCCGGGCTGTCAAGCCAGCTTATACCGAAAGTGCTATGGACATCAGTGAACAAGAGGCTTTGCAAGAAAATCAGATACTCTCGTTTCGGAAAGAGGAAAGACAGCAACTGGAGCCTGGCGCGCAGTGATTAATCGAATTCTTCCTCAGCAGTGGCTTCAAGCACCTGGACCGCTGTGGCGAGGACAGGGCAGGCTGAAAATTGACTATTGACGCCACTGCCTGTTGAGAGGGGGCGATGCTAAGCTGCACAATCCTTGCACAATATGGTCCATGAATTCAATCTCGGTGAGATGCTGGCGTGCTGCTGCTGCTGTTGCATGGACACCCAGTTCGCACCTTCACAACTTGAATGGCTTGGTTTTGGGCTGATCCGCACGCTTCAGGTCAAAGACCAAGACACCGTCGTCCCGCAAGCATCTACAGACGAACCTGAACCAACAGGTCTGGATCGTTGCGGAGGGGTTGAAAGAAGAATTGCACGAGATTAAGCTCTCCAGAAATGAACTCCGTTCAAACCTTTAGATCCGTCATCCTCAAGGGTGCCCAAGTTGCCAACACCTCAATCCAACCTCGAAAAATCGTCGAAAACGTCAAGCCTCATAAACCGAAGAGTTACGTCAAATTGTTAGCACATTAACGAACCGCTTACAGTTCTTGCTTCCTTGCAGGTCGCGGCGCCAGGGCGAGACTGCGACACCGTGGGGACCTACAGTGGTCTCTTGCTACACATGTCTAAACATCCCGTACAGTGGGGGACATCATGCCACCCGCGCAACGAGTAATGTTGAATTGAGGCAGAGCAAACGAGAGGGCTTCTGAGCTGGTTTCAGGGTCGGGGTGCCCGAGCAGCTGCTACTGCTAGTGTTTGGACTTCAAAAACGTTCCATGACATGGGCAGGCGCGCACGTGTTTCTCTATTACATGGAACGGGCACCTCAAACCTCACGGGAACACAACTGTTTCTGGCAGTGTGATACTACCGCTTCTTGCCTGACAATTGCCGAGCAAGTATCGCAGCATACTCTTGGGTGAAGCCTTCTGGGGTTGTTCATAGGTTAACAATCTGGTGAGGAACGGCGTAGACTCGGTTGCGCGCTAATGCCGTTCATCTTCGACGGAATGTGTCGCTGACATTCGGAGGCTCGTGTGGCTTGCAACGAATGTGGAAAAAACGTTCTCGCAGCGCGTTACCCATGCTCTCCACCTAGGGGTGGGGGGGCTGGGGGGGGGGCTGGGGGGGGGGGGCATGTGAAATTTGTACGTTGCGGTGTAGCCACCTCGTATTTTCAAAACCGTTAAAACATCTCAGGCCAGGGCTCACTCGAGTGAGCGCAGCCACCTGGACAAACAGTGATTTGAATGCACCTGCACGCCTACCTGCTGAATGGCGAGCGTCGTCAACCCACATCGGCAGCAAAGCCTCTCCACGGTGTCGGTGCCGTGCAGCCACCTGAGTGCCAAAGCTCTAGGTGCAGCAGCGCAGCAGTGGGCTGACAGGTCACAATGGGGCGGTGGCTCAACCTGGTGCCCCATGCGCAGGACCACGTCAGAGTCCGACATGTAGACGATGGTCGGCCTGGACTGGCATTTGGGTTCAAGATCCCGGAGCATTCCATGCGAGCGAATGATACAACGTGATCCACTATTGCCCAACCTCTGAGAACCAAAGCTTGGTCCCAGCGTCCTCGAAGCACCTTGATGCTATTTAATGATGTTTGTGGCAGTGTAGGCCGCAGTACAAGATTCAGCCATAATGTCACATGCTGCAGGCCCGATGTGGATGCTCAGATTAAGGTACCGTGGTGTCACGCCTGGGGCTACTTAGTCATTCATGTCTGAGCGCTGAAGCCTGAAGCCGTGCAAGCCGACACTATGGGCCATGAAGGGCCCGATCCGATCCCTTCTCAAGAACACGGCACACCAGATCCTACAACGCCTTGTTCTCAGTAGTGACAGCGGCTTTGCCCATCCCGCATGCACGCATACATACACACATACATCTGTAGCCTTGGCTATAGCATGACTGTTGCGGTTGTCAGGCACCAGGGGGCAGCGAAGTCGCCCCAAAGGCTGTTGCACCTGGCTCAGTGAAGTGCAAACGCACGTTGACTGCTTCGCTGCCAACTTGCACTCGATCCTCATGCTCTCGTCCCATGCGAATACGCTCCCTTTCTAGTGCATGACGGCACCCCAACACATTTTGGGTTTCGTCAAGACAATTGCTGAAAAACTAGGCTTTTGCTGATTTGCCTGGCCGGCTTTGCTCCAATGAGATTTGGAAGCTTTCCTTGTTTCCCACCGGAGCTGCACATGCTAGGACAAGGGGCCATACTGTCCGGTTGTCTGACAGGCCAGTGGGACCCAATGACGAAGAGGCGGCCTCTCCACAAAAAGCACGAGCGATTCAAAACAAAACCATCCCCGAACTCGCGGAAACTGGGCCCGGCACCCCCAAGAAAGTGTCTGGGACATCCGGTCGGACCTCCAATCGCACCAACTGACAACCAAACCGACGTGGCCAACTTCACATTTCACATTAGCAGTTTTTCGCGAACTGAGAAGAGTTTTCTCGGCCCATCGCGTAACGCCCGAAACACGGATGCATCTTCCCCCAATCCAAAAACACGTTTCGCTGGCTGCAGGCAGTCGCCTCCGAGGCGGAGCGCACGTTGCCTGCGCTGCTTGCATCGCTTAATTGACGAATGTTGGGAACTGCAGATGTCTCAAAAAATCTGGGGAGGCTTGACGATTAGGGGCAAGCGGGCATGTGCTGAAATTGGTACTCATGAGGAGGACCCCAAAGAATCGAAGATGCAAATGTAGACCTGAACACAATCCCGACCTGAAGCTTCCAGGATGACAGGGTCATTCGATGAGGCCGCTGTGCCTTAACTTACAAAGAACAGCGAAGCAAAGCGCGCACTTTGCGTCCAAGAAAGTACTAAGGCTACCAAGGCCGGGACCTGCCACGCAGGGCCCCGATTGCCTGAAGTGTTGCACAAAGTTGCGCCCTACCAGTTTGGCACCAACTGCAGGGATCAAAGCAGGCTGAGAGAAAATCCATCAACAAAAACGGCCTTGCGGGAATACATGCGTTGAAGTGCCCATGGCCAGGAACGTTGCGACTGCCAGGAGTACTGAAGATCATGAGCCTGAACACGAAATGCCTCCGCCCCTATGCAAACAAGCCCGCATACAATTGGGGGCTTCTTGTGCGGCAGAGCAGGATTCCTGGAACAGCTGTTCGAAAACAATCCACACACATTGGAAGCTGATTAGTATCTGCGCCAGGTCGCTCAGCCCGCAAAGAGTTCTCAGGCTGGAAATCATCAGGCGCAACGACCTGCAACTTCTCCTGGAAGCTTTGGCAACGAGGTGATCTTCTGCTGAACATGCAGACAAGCTTGGCACTTAGCGCGTGTCATGGGAGTGGCGCGGCGCGCGCGGGCGTGTGGCCCGCCCAGGATGAGCGCCCTCTGGCGCGGCCTGATTCTTGCGCAGAGCAAAGGCATGCACTCCGCAGGTCCAGGATGTGCTCGCCAGGCCCGCAGTGCAAAAACTAAGAAGTGTCTTGCATTGACTGTTGATGCCATCAGAGTTGCCTCATATCGCAGTACCTCATAACGTAGCAAAAGCACACCCACAGAATCGATACCCTAGTACCTGCAACCATGCCCCCATTCAAACTCCCCGCCCCCCCCAAGAACAAGGTTCTTCCTTAAGCACGGTGCCTGGCTCGTCCGACCCAGCAGGTATTGGAACTGGGGGGGATGGCCGAAAGCCTCAGCCATGCAGCAGTGGGGCGACTGGGGTTCAAGGCATGCGGACATCGAGTCTATACTTAGCAAGCAAGCGCAAGGACTTCACGAAGTTCAGAGAGTAAACAGTTCGGTTGCCGGAGCCTAATGGATTGAATTGCATGTGTATGATTCGAACACAGAAATCCACACGCAAACCTGATCTCTGTTGCGCACAGAAGCTCAGCAGAAGCTCAAGTGCTGGAAATGACTCCAACAGGAGCCGCGACACAAAATCGCAGGCCAAGCACGGCGGATCGAAGCCAAAATGCCTAGGGCCTAGATCCCACACTGCAGACACCGACCCCACAAAAAAACGCCCAAAAAAAATCCAAGGAGCATCGGCTGTGCTGGCAGCGCTTGCCCCTGCACTTGACTCTTGCGGCACGTCTGCCCCGCGAAGTGTGGCTTGCAGATGGCTGCGCTGGGGTCAGGGCCAAAGGCGGGCGTCTCCGCGGCATGCTCGCAGGGAGCTTCCTTGTCACAAGTGCCAGGGTTAACGTTCACACAATTTGCAGAACGCTCTCACGCCTCAATCCTGTGGCGGGTCCACACTCAACCCACTTCGAAATTCTGAGGAAGCGCAGAACAGCGCAAGAATGCCTTAAGATGCTCAAGTACATAGAGATTTTAAAGGGAAGCTCAGCTTCGATGAGTTCGGGCTGCGACGGGATAGGAGTTCGGGTTGCACATGTAAAGCTCCTAGCACAGAGCATGAGGGCGTGGCAGGCATAGAGCATGAGGGTGTGGCAAGTCCGCCAACTGCTGATCGCCTCGTTTGGCAAGACTACCATGCTGCGGGATTTACTTAGGGCAACATGGGTTGAATTGGCATTCTCGGGTTCTGGGCTTTGTGGCTTTGGGGTCTAGTCCAGAGTTTGCCCCTTCGCTATGCCAAGCTCGACGAACCTATGTACTCCTTGCACAGGTGCACAGGTACAGTGTCGAGGGTCGGTTTCTGGTGGTGCGGACGCTACTCTTCCGCGAGGTTTTGGTGTATGGCATTCTTTTGAGTGTGCCCTGTAATGGCATCACAGCAGCTGAGCAGAAGCCATGCGCATAAGAGCGACAAATTTGCCAACCGTTAAACCTTGAAATGTACATCCAGCCCCCCGTCAGCACAAGCCGGCCCAAGCTATGTATGCTGTCGCAGGGTCTGGAAGGGGCTGAGCAAGCACGGTTTGGGGTTCCGCGGGCTCGGGGCTCTCAGCACTCCTGCAAGGTGGAATCTGCGTTGCCTCATTTCGGGAACTCAGCTAACTTATTCCTGCGCCGTCTGAATCTCACACCCTTTATGCCTTCAAGCTCTCCTGTACTATGCGGCGCAGCCAGAAGCAGTGAGTATTTTCATGAATCGCAAATCAAACTCCAAATCCCGCTTTACACATCAGCATCATCCCTCCAACAACGACCTGAGCAGACCAACCGCCATCCCAATGGCACGGCCTCGAAACTGCTCTCTAAACACTAAACATCTTGAAGCACTGGCTCAGCTGCAAGCGTTTCAGCCATGCCGCAAGCAGCACAGATTCAGATGCAGGTGCAGATTTTCGTTGATGTACGTTTGGCGTCGATGCTTCAACTGACGTCTTTGTCTTAGGTCGAAAACTCGCAAGCGGAGAGTCTGAGTCAAGGGTGCACCATGTGACGGCTCATCTGGCTGCCTATGGCTGCAAGCTTTGCTGGTCATGCTGGGATCTCCACCCTCAGAATGAGTCCGCGTTGTCTGTAGGCCTAGGCTTCACCTAGAGCCGGTCAGCTGCCAAACAGGCTTGCCGAACAGAACCACACCAGCTTTGGCAACCACGGTTGCGAAGATCGGACGGTTATTCAAGTACAGCTAAGATAAACTCGTGAGTTCCAATGACAAGCTACGCTTGCAAGCGACACCCCCTTTGGGCATTCCAAAGATTCATCAACACGGCCTTTATCCGCGAACAACGTCTCCTGCAAACGACACCCTCCTGGCACTCACATCGTCGCTGCCTGTCCCGGGCTTGGAGGGTTTCGATTGAATGCTGCACCTCTGAAGTAACTGTGGCGTGAGCAGCACCACAACACTCCTCGTCGAGTTCCGGACGATGTCCACAATGAGGTCCAGATTCTCGAGTCCAAGAAGACCCGAGCAGATGTGCGCCGAGCAACCATCATCTTGATAAACCGGCACAGGCTGCCTGCCCCAACCTTGTGGTGACACAGGAACACACCATATGGCACCCCTTTCCGGGCACGTATCAGGACTGCCCTCGCCAGGGAGAGAATGCCGGCCACAAATATCTGAAGCACCGGCACGCACAACAACCCCGCAGGCAGCTCGCCTCCCGTATGCTGGGTCCTGGACAGCCACGCACGAGTTTCGCTGGCAATCCCACACGAACGGATCACGAAATGAAATCGAAGCATGTGCTCAGCGCAGCTTCTCAGCCCGCCTCTTTCGCCAGCACGTATTTGCTTCTACAGCTCGGAGGCTCGGAATGATTGAGGGGAGAAGGTGTAGCTAGATTGCTGTGCCAATCACGTACAAAGCTGGCCGTGCCCGTTTCAGCAAAGAAGCTTCGTCCGCAGCACATCCGCGCGCTCCCAATTTCAACAAAAGACCCACACAATAGAAAAAAACTAAACGTTTCTCCACACTTGGAAGGAACGATTCTCTGCCGCAGTTTGTGGTATCGCGCCTATAAAAACGGGCCGGAACGTAAAGTAACATCAAACAAGACCTTCATGGGACTCCTCCGGAGCTTTGAGTTTATTCCATCACGGGTTAACTCCTCCGGAATGCTCAGCTAAGCTCGTGGGCTTCCATGACAAGCTATGCTTGCAAGCGAGACCGTCTTGGTACTCCTCCAGACATTTCGCAGATTGCACACAAACTTCCCTGCAAACGACACTCTCCTCTGGCTCTCCTTCAGAACTTTCACAAATATTGTTCAACACAGGTTATCCCTGCCAACAAGACCCTTTTGGAACTGCTCTGGCTGAGTTTATTTCCATCATGGGCTAACTCCTCCGGAATGCTGAGCTAATTTCGTGAGCTCCCGTGAGAAGCTGTGCTTTAAGCGAAACCCTCTTGGTACCCTTTCGGAACTTTCAAGGATTAATCAATACGGGTTTTACCGCAAACATACTCTCGTGCAGACGACACCCCCCTGCTGACACCCCTCCCGAACTTTTAAAGACATTGTTCAATACGGGCTGCCCCTGCGAACAACGGCGGCTATTTTCATCACGGCTTCACTCAACCGGAATGCTGAGCTGAGTTTCCAGGCCACGCTATGCTTGCAAGCGAGACCCTCTCGGTGCAGTTCCGAAACTTCACGGAATTGGTACTCCTCCGGAGATTTCAATGATTACTCAATATGGATCTTATCCTCAAGCAAATTCCTCTGCAAATGACACTCTCCTTTGGCACTCCTCCCGTGAATTCCCATGAAAATCTATGCTTGCGAGCGAGACTCTCTTCGTACTTCGCCGGAATTTGAAAGATTAAGTAAGTCACGTTTTGTCCGCAAACAAAACCTCCTGCAAACGACACCCTCCTGGCACTCCTCCAGAACTTGCATAAACATTGTTTAATACAGGTGATCCCTGCCAACAAGGCCTCATTGGGACTCATCCAAAAATTCGTGTTTATTTTCATTAGGGGGTAACTCCTCTGGAATGCTGGGCCAAACTCGTGAGCTCCCATGACACGCCATGCTTGCAAGCGAGACCCTATGGGTAGCCATCCGGACATTTCCAAGATTAATCAGAAGCTCGCACTCAATCTTTTCCTCCGATGGAATTGCTTCCTGGTGACATGCCCGGCGCTGGAATTGTATATCAGCAAGGCGGAGAAATAAAGAAGGCCCTGTTGGCGATCTCTCGGGAGGGTCGGGCGGGTTCTTGAGCCCCGTTCAAACATATCGTGGCTCGCTTCTACTGTCCAGAAGCTCGCACTCAATCTTTTCCTCCGATGGAATTGCTTCCTGGTGACATGCCCGGCGCTGGAATTGTACATCAGCAAGGCGGGGAAATAAAGAAGGCCCAAAAGCCCCCAGAATATTCAGTCACCAGGTGCACATTCAGAGATGAGGCCAAAGGGAAAACCATACGGCAGGAGGAATACCTGCTCTCGTCCAATCGCGTGCCTTTCGCAAAAGGTCGGGGAAAGCCGAGGACGCCGCAAGAACGAGCTCGCGAGCGGTCGGCGCCAAGTCTGCCAGAAAAGTAGACGCACTGACCTCCTGCAGGTAGATCTCCATGACACGGTGAGATATCCAGCGGCCTCGTCTTCTGACAAGCTCGGAGTCCTCAGTTTGTTGGAGCAAATAAGTAGCACCACCAGGTCTAAGGGACCCAAGGTCTAGAGGGCGCTCGCTCCCACCAGACCTTGGCATCCCAAGCCGCGTCAAGACATCGTAAAGGCGGCGGCGCAGAGTCTGCGGAGTCATCGGCCAAAGCTTCGCGCCTTTTGGTAGGGCTTCAAAGGCGAGTCGGCAGACCTCAATGAGGTCGTAGGGTTCCAGCTTGGCGCTTTGATGACGGGCAGCACGGCCACGAGTCTTCGGCTCCTGGATCTTAATAAGGACATAGGTTTGACCCCAGAGGGCGTCGGAGGGGAAGACGACATCCCTCCTTGTAGCCTTTACAGCTTCGCCAGCACGAAGAAGCGCTCCCCAGCAGAGCGCGAAGATCCCGGCCTCCTTGATCCAACCCCACAAAAGGCAAGTGCTAAGGACAGCGACAAGGACCTGAGCCGGCATAGCAGTATGGTGCACAGACGGTTCCTCTGCCAGCCACGTGTAGGCGAGGTCCCAGGCTCCCTGAACTTGACGTCGGAGTGAAGGTTTTAGGGAGGTCAAAGAATTGATAGTTTCAGCGAAATGCCAATAAGGTCCTCCAGAAGCGTAGAGGTCATTGCCGAAGGCAACAAGGTACTCGCAGAAAACTTCGTGGTCAAAAGGCCTCCTCTGCAGCAGCTGTTCCAGGGTAGCAGAGAGCCATTGCGAAAAGGCTGCGGTCAGGGGGCCCCTATTAGCCTTAGTCCTAGGTTGAACCGGTCGACCAGAGGGAAGGAGGCCAGGAGCACGACCGCGTTGGCGCAGAAGGTCGGCGGCGTTTCTGGGAGCGAGGACGCCGAACACAGAGCAAGGGCCTCCATAAATCCATAAGGTGAGGAAAATCCAGAGGAGGCCCGGGCCTTCGCCTGGGAAGCCGAGGGTGGAGTCAAAGTCGAGAAGGCGGCGGCCCTGAGCAGAGAAACACCTGCAGTGAAAGCGGGAGTCTCGAGGAAAGTTCCAGAGAGCCCGCAGGCGTGATGCAGGAGAGGACGGCCGAGGAGAGCCAACCAGAAGGAACAGCCTGACCCAATTGGCGCGGGCTCTCGACAGGTGGCTGAAGCTAGCAAGAGACCAGGGGTCAACCGTCTCATGCAGAGGGACCCCGCACGCTTCGCGGCAATGCTTGTCACGTGTCGGGTCGTCAGCCGGGTTCAACCTGGTGGGGGCGAACTGCAAGGAGGGATACAAGCCCCCGGCGAGAAGGATCGCAGAAGCCCGGCGCAGCGATGGCGCGAGGAGAAACGCAGTGGACCGGCCCTTTCTGTGGGAGCCGAGGACAACACTGGAATCGGTGAGGAGGCTAAAACGCAGGTCGCCTCCGAGGACAACGAGGTACTTGTAAAGCTGAAGAGCGGCTTCAGACTCAAGCACGTTGATGTGCCGCCGCTGCCGCCACCGCCAGGTCCTATCGGCCCGCCACCTGGAAGTCAAGAGGACATCGTTAACTAAGGCACTTTCAAACCCACAGGCGGGCTCCTCGGGAGGCTCGACAAGTTGAGCTCCGGCCCAGAGACAGGAAACAATAGCCCGAGCACCTTCGGAAGAGAAAGAAGGGAACACAGAACGATCATCCCCTTTTTCGTGGAACTTGCAGGTGCACTTGCGATCAAGGCCGGGGGTGGGAGTCCAAACAGCAACCCAGCCAAGGTCTGAGGTCCCGGGCCCGCCAAAAACACAACCACGATAGCTCGCAGAGGTTGCAGTCTGCAGCTCGAGGCATCGAAGGAAGGATGGGTGCCTGCATATCCCGGACTTACGCTGGTGAACCAGGATGCAGGGCACACCGTAGGAAGCACAGGTCCTGAGCAGGACAAGGGCACGGAGAGCGCGGCGTTCCTTCTTTCCAGACGTATCTGCTTGTTTCCCAAGCGACCGATCCGGTGGGAGATCCAGGGGAAAGCCCCAGGAGGGACACAGCAGAGGAGTGAGCGAAGGCGGCCGTTTGCGATAAGATGAAGAAGAAGGTCAAGGACCTGAGGGTCATCAGCGGCAAGCTCAGGCGAGGAGCTGGTATGAAAGCTCGGCCCAACCTTAAGTCCTAAATCCCTCGCGGCAGCGGAAGCACCAGTCGAAATCAAGACCAAGAGGCCGGGTACGGGGGTCGGCAAGGCAGGTCCCAACAGGAGACTCGAGGGTGCTTTCAGTCGCGGGACCTCGGCCAGTAAGGCCCCGGGAAGGAGCGGTGCTCGGGCAGGTGTCGGTAGGGTCCAACGAAGTAGTCCCGGACAGCAGAGTGTACTGGCCCCGTCGGCTGGCATGGGCCCACAGAGCCTCAGCAACCGGCCGCGAGACGCGAGCGCTGACAACAGCCCCTTTCTGCAGTGAGGCGTCAGTGCAAAAGATCCTTTTGGAATGAGGCAGGGCAACATTGGACACAGCGATGGGAGAAAGGACCGCAAGGAGCACAAGCTCCTGAGCTTGGCCCCTAGAGAGTGGGACGACGTCGGACCCAGAGTGGCCAGAAACGTGGCCAAGGCCGAGTTTAAAGAAGGAACCAAGGCAGGCTGCAAGGGGCTTCCGGAAGAGCAGAGCAGAGGTCCAGGAGCCAGAGAAGGCAGCGGCAAGTTCCTTAGAAATGCCCGGCAGCGCGGAGGCTTTTAGAGACAGGAAGGCGAGGGCGAGGCGTTTGCCTGGCGGCGCTCCAACAAGGATCTGCCCCTCACGAACAGATTGCACGGAGGAGTCAACGTAGGCGCCGGCAACCTGGTAGGTGAGGGCTCCAAGCAGGTCCTTTGCAGGGCCTTGCACATTTTCGGAAGCATATGCGGCTTGGGCCGTAAGGACCCTCTGCGTCGACTCGGCCTGGAGAAGTTTCTGTGGAAGGGCCTCGGAAGGACACTCGGCAAAGTCATCGAGGCACTCGACGGAGAGGCTAAAATAATCATCAATGACTAAAGCCTCGTAGCACGGGGTGCGCGGCACGGCGTGTTGCCCAAGGAGGCGGGAGCCGGGATGCAGGAGCCCATGCTCGCGAAGCAACGCCTGGTGGGCTGAGGTCGCGTACTCGACCCCTCCGTGGTCCCCTTGGAACAGGGTCCCGAAGGCAGCATAAAAGCGGGACCTGTCGTGAAGCCCAGCAAGCAGGGAACACTTCTGCTGACCAGAACAGAAGTAAAACGCGGCAGCTAACCTGAGTCGAGGCTGCCAGGGGGCAGCCAGCGGGAGGGTCCAAGGACCCGGCCTTCCCGGCTGTTAGGCCCACGTCGGTCTCCTATGAGTCTGTCGTGCTGGTCCGACTTATATGCACCAAAGGTCCTGCAAAGCTGCCTCGGGTGCCTCGGGCCGGGAAAGAGCCGGAGGAGCCCTTTGTGATCCCACAAGCGTACAAGGGGCAAAATGGTCTCCTTGGCGGTGGCCGCGGCATCAGGGTAGGGAAGGTCGTTCTCGGGAATGCCCGTTAGCACAAGAGGATCCCGAAAAGGCAAGAAAAGTTCGGGATCGAAGAGGAGGTGCCGGCTAAGGTCCCAAGAGCCTGTACCCTTGATAAGGATGCGGCTTGCATCGCTGTCTCGGTAGGGCCGGAGAGAAGGAGGCCCGTCGTCACGGTGGCCGACATGGCCGAGCTTGGGATAAGGTGAGCCCTGCAGGCCAAGTCGCGCAATGTGGGCAGAAAGCTCGCTGAGCCTCGCGACCAAGTGCGCTCCGCGCCGGCCGGCGCATACAGGAACGCAGTCGAGGGAGTCGGTGGCTCGGGAACACGCTCTTATCAGAAGCTCCAAGCGCACAAACACATTGGATTGGCAAGGGGAGGGAGGCTTCTGCAGGACATGTGCAGGGATAGGTCGCAGGTTGGAGTGCATGAAGTTCAAGGCCATAACGCACATATGGAGAACTCGATCAAGCAAGACCTGGCGACTAACCTTAGCATGCCCAGAGTCTTCTCTGCCAAACGCCCCCGGTCGGGGCAGAGGTAGAGGAAAAAGAGCGGCAGAGGGGGAATGATCTTCCCTGCGGAGGTGCATGGTGCCTGCAAAGAACCGAGCAAAGGCGGTCTTGGTGGCCAAAAGCAGCCGAGGCAAAGCTGCGGCCCAGGCCCAAAAGTCAATCTTGTCAGAAAAACCAGGCGCGGCAGAGGAGGCGGTACATCGCCCAGCTTCCTCTTTCGGCCGAGGTGTCGGGGCGACTGACAAAGCAGAGCCCGATCGTGGTGCAGAGCCGTGGGCACAGGAGAGTGCATCGTCTTCAAAAGGGACGGGTGTCTCCCTGGCTGGTGGTGCATGATGTCGTGGCTCCCCCCCCTCACAGGAAGCACGTTCCGGCAGGCGTCGGGAACGGGAGGGGAGAGTGCTGAATTAGGCCGGGCATGCTCTAAGGTTGGGCTGCTTTCTTCGCCGCTGCCCAGGCACGAGCCCTCTGCTGCTTCTTTGAAAGCGGAGGCTCGGGAGTACCACCGTCGTCGGTGGGAGGCGGGGCAGGGGGCGGCTTTCCCTTTGCACCGCTCAGTTCCAAGCGCTTCGCCGACAAGTTGTCCAACTCTTTCATGAAGGCTATGGTGCAGGAGACCAGCTTTGCATCGGCGAGGGGGGCGAAAGGTCTTAAGGCTGCTGTCGGAGTAGCGTGGTGGGTGGCGAACAAGCTCACAGGCGGATCTGGTTGAAGAGTGAAGAGCCACCCAAGCTCGTGGCGGCCCCGGTCGACCGCTACTTGCTCCAGCATTATCATGGCCTGGGCAGCCAGATCCGCTGAAATTTGGGCTAGCTGCCACTGCAGCAACCCAACCAGCTGCTGGCCTTGGTAGCCTCCGAACCTCTCGAGGTAACGAGTCATCAGGCCCTCCTGGTGCAGGGCTGGCTCCAAGGCAGTGGGGGCCATATGCCTGAGGGCGGCCACTCGCATCCTGGTCGCAAAGTGTCCTTCCCGGAGCGCAAGCTCGCTCTGCATCCTCTGCCTGCTGTTGGTGCCCCTTGTTGAAAGGGTAGAGGCAGGGGTTCCAAGGTCCGCAAGGGGGTCGGCGTTCTGAGCGAGCTGAGATACGAGTTGAGCCAGCGCTCGGCTCTGAAGCAGCATGGCTTCCGCAACGGGGGTGTTTGTTCCACCCGCTTCCTGCGCGCCGCCAGTTTCCAAGTGGAGGGGATCGTCTTCCTCCAGCTGATGTATCACAGGAGTCGGGGCAGCCTTTGCACGAGGAGGAGGGCCTAACAGAGAGCTCAGGGCCTTTGCCGGGAAGCCTTGCTGGGGGGCCTTTCCTGACACTGGGGCCGACAGCAAGGCTGAAGTCGGAGGCGCGGCCGCCCGAGGCAAAGGAGCGGCTGGCCCACCATCGACGGCTCCTTGCTCCACAGCGGGAGGCTTCGCAAGAAGGGCCAGCTGTTCTGAGATGCCTGCTAGGGCCTTTGCAAAAGACTCTTGTTGAGCTGCCAGCTGGGCCACGGTGGTCTTCTTGGGCCGAGCCCCCAATTTTGCAGCCCGAGCCGGTGCTTCGGACACAGCCGTCTGATAGCCGCTTCTTATTCCTGCAAGGTCTTCCGCAACCCAGCTCCGGCAGAATCCGAACGACCTCGGAGGCAAGGGGGAAGGTGTCGGGGCGGTCCGCCAAGAAGGGCCTGGCACCGGTGTCGGCAAGGTCGGCCTGAGTCACGGCGTCTGCAGCCCGAAAGGCTAGGTCGACAACCACGCAAGGCACGGGGGCCGGATCGTCGGCTCGGGCCCAGTCGCCCGCTTCTGTCAGCACCACCGGGGTCACAAGATATTCGATGGAAGGCCCCATCAGAGCACTGTCCTCGTTGGCTGATTGTCCGGCAAGCAGGTCGGAGGCTCTGAAGAAGCCACTCGGCACGCACAGAAGGAAGCCCCCGGGCCGGCGCATAACCGCGTAAGCCAAGCAAGCCTCGGGAGCCTGGTCTATCTCCAGGTCTTGCAGCATGGGCCAAGACAGCTCGACTATTTCCACCGAGCGGCACATACAAAAGGCAGGGTCTCGCTCATGGTGACCTAGGGTAAGCGAGCTTCCGCCTCGGAAGCAAAGCCGTGGGTGATAGTTGACCCTCCCTCCAGCCGGCCCAGATGGGCCCGGAAGGCAGCAAAAGAAGTGAGCACGCAGGGCTCTTGACCTGGCAGCCTTTTAAGAACGCAGTAAAACCTGTTCTTTAGGTAGGGCTCTAAGCGAGGGGTGCTCTCGGCCCGGTTCACAAGACCTCGCAGCACAGCTCCACCCCAACAGCCCGCTCTCCACGTGCGAGCAATGCGGTGCCTCCCGTCCCCCAGACAGACCGCGACCAAGGTCGAGGATGTGGCTAGGAGGCTCAGAGACCACAGTCTCCAGTCGAGACACAAGGGTCGGAGGGCCCTGAGGCCAACAAGGGATCAGACAAGTTCTCCGGCTGGAGAAGGGGCAACAGAGCCCACAATCAGGCGAGGACGGTCGGCTTTTGCAGCAGAGACTCCTGAGGAGCCGGGGGCACGAGGCCCTGCAATGGATTCCTGTTCCACTCGCACGGGTAAACCCTCACACTAGGGGGGTCCGGGGACCTACTAGCAACCCCAACGCTAAGGGTGAGGGAGAGAGGCTGGGACTGCGACGAACAGCCGCCGAGGCAAACTCTGCCTCCAGGGCCCGAGGGCCAGCAATGGGTGAAGCAGCCGGGCTCACAGACGACCCAGTCGGAGGGAAAGATCAAGCTCGTCGCTCATGCAGGTAGCCCTGAAGGCGCCTGCGCACAAGGGGAGGCTCAGGAGGAGCCTCGGAAGTGACCTGAGTCGGCACAGAAGGACGGTAGGCTAGGAAAGCCAGAAGGGAAATCCAGGCAACGGTGGCCACCAGAAATCCAAGAAGGAAAGAGGCAAGGAGAAGGCCTAAGTCGGCCCCACGACAGTGGGAGGGACAGCCTATTCCAAACCAGTTGCTCTGGGCCCCCTGAGCTACAAGCCTAATGACCTGAAGGGCAGGCTCCAGCATGTTCTTGAGCCCCGTTCAAACATATCGTGGCTCGCTTCTACTGTCCAATACGGGTTTTATCCGCAAACAACCTCTCCTGCTGACGACACTCTCCTCTGGCTCTCCTGCAAATCTTTCGCACGTGTTGTTCCATGAGGGCTATCCCTGCAAACAAAACCCTTTTGGGCTTTGGGGCTCTTCCGGATTTTAGAACTTGTTTCCGTCACGGGTTAATTCCTCCGGAACATTGCGCTAAACTCGTGAGCTCCCATGGCAAGCTATGCTTGCAAGCGAGACCTTCGCTTACTCCTCCGGACATTTCAAACAAAACATTCAACAATACAGGTTCTATCCGCAAACAAACTCTCCTGCAAACGACACCCTCCTGACACCCCTCCAGAATTCTCACAAATATTGTTCAGGACAGGTTGCCCTTGCGAACAATTAAGCACATTTGCATTACGGGTTAACTCCGCCGGAATGCTGTGCTAAACTCGTGAGTTTCCAGGCCACGCTATGCTTGCCAGCGAGACCCTCTTGGTACTCCGCCGGAGGTTTCAATGATTTGGTACCCGGAGATTTCCAAGATTAATCAATACGTGTTTTATCCGCAAGCAAACTCTCCTGCAAACGACACTCTCCTCTGGCACTCCTCCAGAATTTTCACAGATGTTGGTCTGAATTACCATAACACGTTATGCTTGCAAGCGAGACCCTCTTGGTAGTCTTCCGGACATTTCAAAGATTGATCAAGACGGGATATATCCGCAAACATACTCTCTAACGACACCCTTCTGGCACTCCGCCAGAACTTTCACAGGTATTGTTCGAGATCGTGGGTTGTCCCTCCAAACAAGACCCTGTCTATTTGATGTCCATCACGGCCTCCGAAATGCTGATATAAACTCGTGAGTTCCCGTAAAGGCTCTGCTTGCCAGCGAGACCCTCTTGGTACTCCTCCTCCTGCAAACGACACCCTCCTGACACCCTTCCAGAACTCTCACATTGTTCAGTACGGGCTATCCCTGCAACCAAGACCCTCTTGGCTCCGGAGCTTTGAGTTTGTTTCCTTCCGGAATGCGAAGCCAAACCCCTGAGCTTCCATGACAAGCTACGCTTGCAAGCGAGACCCTCTACGTACTATTTCAAACATTACCCCATATGGGTTTGGTCCGTGCTGCAAACGAATTGAACGTTGCATTATGTCAGCATTGCAAAAAGCCACTACAGTGGACAAAAATCGCGTTCGTTCGACCCCAACCTGCAGGGACGTGCGATTCATGGCAAATTCCAGTATAAGCCGCGGATGGAAACTGACCATGTTCTGCAAAATCTAACATGCTCACCGATCAGCTTCTTGATGTTCTTGATCGCTTCCTCTGTCGCTGCCTCTCCTCTTCCCATCTCTCGTCTGCCCAATCCACACACACACACACACACAGGTCACAGAGTCAGCTACCTGCCACAATGCCGACAACGACGAACGGAAAACACGAGGTGTGCGACCACACCGATGCGAACGAAGGACAGCAGCGGCAAACGTCAGGAGCCTCCCTCTCTGTGCTTCTGTGCCCTCGGCTAATGCTCCGGGGGAGTCCGCGCATTGTCTGCGCTTCGAGACTCGAGCTACTTCCAAGGCGTTCACGCTTCGCGGCGTCACGTCGCGAGCACAGGAGGAACTCGAGCATAGCTAACAGCAACACTCACTGCGTCTTGGGGAGGCCTGCGTCCTCCTACCGCCTTCCGAATGAACTGAACGTGATCAAAATCTGGTGCCTGAGAATGAAGTATGTGAGTCTACGACTTGATGTATTAAGCTTTCAGGCAATGAAAACCCTTCAAGGCCCCAGAAGCTCAGGCGTTTCCATGCTAGTTTATGTGGCTGTTTCACGCCAGACAGCATCTACCATAAAAGGCCCGGTGAAGGTGCTGACCCTTGTTTGTGTGTTCATTGATCAAGTCTGCTGCACGACAAAACAGCGCTGCTGGCAGGATTTGAGATGCCCACAACTCTGCTGTGCAAAAATGGAGGCCAGGCCAAGATTTCGAGAGACTAGCAAATCCCACCGGCAACTGAAAAGCTCGAAACACTGCAACTGCAACAGCCATATTACTTGCAGCGATCACCCAGACCTCGTTCGCAGCAACAAAGCAAGGGACACGAGGGCGCAGCAGAATTCGAGTGCCCACATGTCACGCAAACAACCTGATGCTGGGATGATGCACTCCCAGTGAGAAGGGTCGTCTCGGACCTCGGCCTTTGAGAAAAGAAGGCAAACACCAACTCCGAGCACTCGCGCCTGCGCTTCTCTTCGAAAACCCTACATCGGATGCAACACAGCGCGGAGCATGCACGCAATGTCGCTCTGCCGTTGAAACACACAACTTGCAGGAAACCCTTCAATTCCACCCTCTGACCGCTAACTGATGCTACAGTTCTCAGCTAAGTTTTCGAACAGCTCGGGCGATGACGCCTCTGCCGTTGGAAAACGCAGATGCCTTTAAACCTTTCAAGCCCATCTTCCTGTCTGAAGTTCGACTGTGCTTCCGAACAGCTCGGGCGATGACGCCTCCGCCATCCAGAAACACAGACGCCTAGGTCCTTCTTAAACCCCCCGAACTCCTGGACCTTCGCAGAACGGACCCCAGCACTCCGCGCGAGCTCTCGCCTCCTGGAAGTCGCTGCCGTCGCTACCACCACAGCTGATCGGAGGAAGCAAAACACCGGCCCTCAGGCACAACTGCACAAAGCGGCATAGATGCGGCGCTTCACTGTAAAGGACGTGCTGGAACTCTCACGGTCTTTCATCACATCGATGGCATTGCCAGGGACAGAAATTGAATCTCCGGAGTCCGAATCGTCTCCAGAAAGCCTTTTCACCCGAGCGTGAGCTGGGAGCTGGGAAGAGCTGGGGCCCAGGGCCTTCGCGACTTCGCTTTCAACGCCGCTCAGGGCCGACCTCAAAAGGACCAGCTGAGGCGAAGCTGGGCTGAGGCGGAAAATGGACACCGTGAGCCCGGCTGGATCTCGGCGGAGTTCTTCTTGATCATCGCCATCTGCTGGTCGTCTTCTCCTTTCTGCGAAGGCTCGAGCAATACAAAAAACGCATTGGCGGGTCTTGCAGGCCGTCCTCTGCTTGTTCAAGACCTCACTCCAGGCGTCGTTTATCTGCGACCTCGGAATACATCCAACGGGCTGTAATTTCAGCCTTGGCATCAACTCTGGCCACAGCCCGGGCTCACCAGACCCAGTACGAAGGAGGCCGTGCACTTACCGAGAGTTCTCACCTTCCACCCAGACATCCTACTTGCTTCTGGAAATTCGAGAATTAGATACTGTCTGCATTGCGATCTGAAGGCTCATCAAAAGTTCTGCGCCCAAGCATCCACACTGAACCACAGAGTCAAAACACTAGCATCCAAAGCTAAATCTCAAGCTCCAGCGCTTCAGCTTTGCGAAGTCCTCATGCGCAGGTACCTGGAATACATGGCTGAGCCGCAGCAGCAGCTTCAAGACAAGCAAGAGCAGCTTTGGCGACCTCTGCAAGCTCAAAGGTGTACTCGCCAGCGATATCCGCCTCATCATCAAAGGTCAGTTTCACACAGAAATCTCCGGCAACTGGCGACATGAATCTCTGAGAGGAGCCCTGCAGGCTCATGTGGCCCGAGTTCGCGCGTGACGTCCCCATGACCCAAAGCCATCTCATTTCCCGACGTGACACTCTGCAAAGACTCTTCGCAGTCACCGACGGCACGATACTGGAGACCGGGAAGGACCCCACGAGACGAACCGAAGCACTGCACGACCCACTGTTGCTGTTGTCTGCGTCTAGAGGCATGTGTTCATCAGTTCATCCATCATCAACCAAACTAACCTAGCGCATCCTAGCACTTTCCCACATGGCTGGCAGCCAAAGTTTCGCTAGCTCAAGCGACGGAGCTAGAGATGAAACTTCACCAAGACTTCCCGCTGGTCCGTCTTAAATATACTTATACTGCCCGCTACCACTATTTCCAAACCCTTCAAATGATCAACACTGAACGCGAGCCTCAATCTCGGCGGCTCCACAGCGCCCGACCATCCAGGATTTGCCAACTGTGTCTTTCCCTTCCTTCAAAACCTTCAAAAGGCAGCAACAGGCTTTTGTTGCCCAAGTCTCCCGACGGCTCCAAATCCCACCGTGCCCCACTGGAAGCACTGGCCCTGGCCTCGGAGAGCAAGAATGATGGGCCTCACCGCTTTCCACACGGCACGACCTTAGGACCACTGTCAATTCACGGGTGCTTGTGTTGAGGTTGTCAGATTAACAGATGTCCTTTTAGCGCACAAGTGCTTTCCACAACGTCCTAACCTTCAGCATCCAATTTCGCAATCATCGAAGCTTTTGCCGTGAGGAACATCTGCACAAGACATGCTTGCAACTTTCTGGACTTCTGTTGTGCACGAGATTCAAAAGCAGGCTCAGCGGTGCAAGGGAGACCCACACTGTCTGCTGGGGATACGACACCGGAGACCATCGCCAATTCAGGGCACCTGAGGACAAAAGACAGGCCACACCCCTTCACTCCCATCCATAGCGCTAATTGAAAGGAACCGTCTACCTGTTGCCAGGACTTGTAACACTGCGCTTGGGCTACGGATAACTGAAACACCAACTTTCTTCGTCGGGTCTGATTTGCTAGCTTGGCGGAGTCCATGTGTGAGCAATGCACTTCTGCCCGAGCATCAAGTAAGGCAGGGTGGCGCTAGATAGCTTGACGAGGCAAGGAAACTCGAGCCGCATTGCCTCAAGCGACATTGACTATGGCAGACTCACAAGGACAACCTGTCTGGTGCCGCCTTCTTGAGGGTCTCTGCCATTGCAGCAGCGAGCATCAGCTAGTGCGACTATTGATGAGGACCTTCTTTCTGCGAACGGTTGCACAGGTTGATGATGAACTACACTAACAGCAGTGATGCGCCCCACGACGGCGAGAACCCGCGAACCCCTTGAACACAAGACCCTCCGCCCGACAACTCG